AATAAATGGAAAAAAAAAAGAAAAAGAAAACAGCAAGAAGGCAAAGTGGTTGTTGGAGGAGGCCTTAAAAATAGCTGAGGAAAAAAGAGAAGTGAAAAGTAAGGGAGAAGGGGAAAGATATACCCAACTGAATGCAGAGTTCCAGAGAATAGCAAAGAGAGATAAGAAGGCCCTCTTCAATGAACGATGCAAAGAAATAGAGGAAAACAATAGAATGGGAAAAACTAGAGATCTTTTCAAGAAAATTGGAGATACCAATGGAACAGTTCATGCAAAGATGGGCACGATAAAGAATAGAAACAGTAAGGACCTAACAGAAGCAGAAGAGATTAAGAAGAAATGGCAAGAAGAATACAGAAGAATACACAGAAGAACTATACAAAAAGGTCTTAATAACCCAGATAACCATGATGGTGTGGTCACTTACCTAGAGCCAGACATCCTGGAATGTGAAGTAAAGTGGGCCTTAGGAAGCATTATGACAAACAAAACTAGTGGAGGTGATGAAATTCTAGCTGAGCTATTTAAAAATCCTTAAAAATGATGCTGTTAAAATGCTGCACTCAATATGTCAGCAAATTTGGAAAACTCATCAGTGGCCACAGGCATGGTAAAGATCTGTTTTCATTCCAATCCCAAAGAAAGGCAATGACAAAGAATGTTCAAATTACTATACAATACACTCATTTTGCATGCTATTTAAAGTGAAAAAGTGAAAATCACTCAGTCGTGTCTGACTCTTCAACCCAGGAAAAGACCCAGGAATTCTCCAGGCCAGAATACTGGAATGGGTAGCCTATCCCTTCTCCAGCAGATCTTTCTGACCCAGGAATCAAACCCAGGTCTCCTGCATTGCAGGCAGATTCTTTACCAGCTAAACTACCAGGGAAGACCCCATGCTAGTTAAGGTTATGCTCAAACTCCAAGCTAGGCTTCAGCAGTGTGTGAACCAAGATCTTCAGATGTATAAGCTGAGCTTAGAAAAGGCAGAGGGATGGTGGGATGATTTGAGAGAATAGCACTGAAACATGTATATTATCATATGTGAAACAGATCGCCAGTCCAGTTTCAATGCATGAGACAGGGTGCTCAGGGCTGGTGCACTGGGATGACCCAGAGGGATGGGATGGGGAGGGAGGTGGGAGGGGGGTTTAGGATGGGGAACACATGTACATCCATGGCTGATTCATGTCAATGTATGGCAAAAACCACTACAATATTGTAAAGTAATTAGCCTCCAATTAAAATAAATAAATAAATTTAAAAAAAAAAGAAAAGGCAGAGGAACTAGAGATCAAATTGCCAACATTCACTGGATCATAGAGAAAGCAAAGGCATTCCAGAAAAACATCTATTTCTGCTTCATTGACTACATGAAAATCTTTCACTGTGTGGATCACAGCAAACTGGAAAATTCTTAAAGAGTAGGGATTACCAGACTACTTTACTTGTCTTTTGAGAGACCTGTGTGCAGGTCAAGAAGCAACAGAACTGGAAACGGAGTAACTGACTGGTTCAAAACTGGGAGAGGAATACAACAAGGCTGTGTATTGTCACCCTTATTTAACTTATATGCAAAATGCTAGGCTGGATGAATCACAAGCTAGAATCAAGACTGCAGGGAGGGACGGGACATATGTATACCTATGACTGATTCATGTTGATGTTTGACAGAAAACAACAAAATTCTGCAAAGCAATTATCCTTCAATTAAAAATAAATTAATTTTAAAAATTAAAAAAAAAGAAAAGACCAAGGTGTGAAAAAGACTTTACCTGCCATGTTGAGGAATATGAACTTGAGCCTCAGCACAGTGCAGAGTACCATGACCACACTGGGTGATTTTAGAATTAAAAGAAAAAAAAGAAAAGAAAAGATTGCAAGGAGAAGCATCAACAACCTCAGATATGCATATGATACCACTCTAATGGCAGAAAGCAAAGAGGAACTAAAGAGCCTCTTGATGAAGGTGAAAGAGAAGAGTGAAAAGACTGGCTTGAAACTTAACATTCAAAAAGCTAAGATCACGGTATCTGGTATCCGGTCCCATCACTTCATGGCAAATAGGAGGGTGTAAAAGTGGAAGCAGTGACACATTTTATTTTCTTGAACTTCAAAATTACTGCAGATGTTGACTAGAGTGAAATTAAACAATCTGTTTTCTCTTTGAAAGGAAAGCTATGACAAACCTAGACAGTGTATTAAAAAGCGGAGACATTACTTTGCTGACAAAGGTCCATATAGTCAATGCTGTGGTGTTTCCAGTAGATGTGTACAAATGTGAGAGTTGGACCATAAAGAAGGCTGAACACAGAAGAATTGATGCTTTCGAATTGTGGTACTGGAGAAGACTCTTGAGAGTCCTTTGGACTGCAAGGTCAAACCAGTCAATCCTAAAGAAAATCAACCCTAAATATTCATTGGAAGGACTGTTGCTGAAACTGAAGCTCCAATACTTTAGCCACCTGATGCGAAGAGCTGACTCATTGGAAAAGACCCTGATGCTAGGAAAGACTGAAGGCAAAGCAGAAGGGGGTGACAGAGGATGAGATAGTTAGACAGCATCACCAATTCAATGGACACGAATTTGAGCGAACTCTGCAAGAGAATAACGACAGGGAAGCCTAGCGTTTATGCAGTCCATGGGATCAGAAAGAGTTGGACATGACTTAGCCACGAACAAGAACAGCAAAATTTTCTTGGGAGGCAAGTCTCCTGTTGAGTTGTGTGTCCTAGTTGGTACATCTTCAGTTTTAAGAAGATGAATGACTCTCCCTGCAGTTCAGCTGCTTATGAAAGTGTGCAGTCTGGCCTCAGTTGACCTTGCAGAGTGGCTCTTCTGAGGTTATCAGTGTGTGTAATTTCCCTTTTTTGGCCATTCCTTGTTCATGTATGGATGTGAGAGTTGGACCATAAAGAAAGCTGAGTACCGAAGAATTGATACTTTTGATCTGTGGTGTTAGAAAAGACTCTTGAGAGTCCCTTGGATTGCAATCAGTCCTAAAGGAAATCAATCCTGAATATTCATTGGAAGGACTGATGCTGAAGCTGAAGCTCTAATACTGTGGCTACCTGATGCGAAGAACTGACTCATTGGAAAAGACCCTAATGCTGGGAAAGATTGAAGGCAGGAGGAGAAGGGGATGACAAAGGATGAGATGATTGGATGGCATCACCAACTCGATTGGCATGAGTTTGAGCATGCTCCAGAAGTTGGTGATGGACAGGGAAGCCTGGCATGTTGCAGTCCATGGGGTCACAAAGAGTTGGACATGATTGATCGACTGAACTGAACTGCTTATTAAAGATGGAGTTCTTTGAAAGCTGTGTGCTGCTTGGCCTTTTCCAAACAGTTGTTTAGGCTTGGTATTCTGTTTTGTCCTCAGATTAAGCTAGGCCAACTTTGAGCTATTGAGTTGGCCAAAAAGGTCGTTTGGGTTTTCCATAAGATGTTATGGGAAATCCCAAATGACATTTTTGGCCAACCCAGTACATCCCTAGACCACCTTATTTTAGTTTAGCCACTCTACACAGACACACACACATACTTAGCACTCATTGACAAAGCTATATGAAACAAGCAATTATATGACACTCCCTATCATCATTTTATACAAATATCTTTGAGGACCAAGAGGAAACTTCCCTAAGATTTTAGTATTAAGAAGATCTGGGAGTCTCCTGGTTTATTTTATGGACACTATAAACCATTATAACAGTGCTTTGTGTTTAGTTTTATCTGTGAGAAATCTTGGGGATATATCTGTAATCATCTCCCAGCAAGCACATAAAACCTTAGGGCATGCACTTTTTAGTATTTCTATCTTGGCTGCTTTTTATTGTTTTTTCCTACGCTTATTTCTCCTTTGGCCTACAAGATTTTAAAAAAGATTCTTTCCTTTTTAAAATCTTGTACTTTGTAAAACTGCTTCAACTTTGTTTTAGAATGAGGCAAGATAAAGAGAAATTAAGTACAATATTCATGATTTACCATTTGTTACAGACATATTGCCAATTTGTTTCTAGATTTCATTTTAAATTTCCTATCCTTTATGAAATCAAATCTTTTACTGCTTTGTGATTGTCATGGAGCGAATCATTGCTGTGAATTTGAAGATCCCTTGGCTGCCGTATTTTCACCCCATAGTTAACATGACTGATTCAGTATAAATCTTTTTTTAAAAATTGGAATATAGTTGCTTTAAAAACTATGTCAGTTTTTGCTATATAGCAAAGTGCATTTCAGCCATACGTATACATATATCCCCCCTTTTTTGGATTTCCTTCCCTAAGCACTGGGTAGAGTTTCCTGTGCTATGCAGTAGGTTCTCATTAGTTATCTATTTATACGTAGCAGTATATGTATGTCAATCCCAACCTCCCAATCCATCCCACCACCCCACCACCTCCCCCTTTGGTATCCATACTTTTGTTCTTTATGTCTGTGTCTCTATTTCTGCTTTGCAAAGAAGACCATCCATACCATTTTTTAGATTCCACATCTATGTGTTAATATATGACATTTTTCTCTTTCTGACTTAGTTCACTCTGTATGGCCGTCTCTAGGTCCATCTACCTCTCTGCATATGCCACTATTTTGTTCCTTTTTATGGCTGTTTAATATTCTATTGTATATGCAGCATAAATCTAAGAGCTTAGAGGAAGCAGAATTAATAACCCTCTTAATTCTTCAAGGGTCCCATTTTTTTGGTTTACTAAATTTCAGTTTCAAGTACCACATTTAAACAGGAAGGCAGTTATATGTCAGCATAAAAATGGTTGGCCCATAAGGCCTGGGAAATGCTTAGCACTTACCTGGTTCTTCACAAGACAGGCGTTCAGCAAGAGTTTGGTGACTTAAATTTATTGCAGTTTCTGTGTTTGGGTCTAGAAGCATTTGCCTGCCCTGGTGGTCTGGGACTGGGTTGGGGAATGCAATCTGCTACTGTCTGCAATGACTTGACATCAGTGACATTTTCTGCTTTACTTTTCTCTTTCAGAATATGATCGATTGGGCTTCCTCCTGAAGTTGGACTCTAAACTGTGAGTAGAATGAGCCAGTTCATTGACTTTGTGATAGAGATCTGTGACAGCTGGAGGCTGGCCTCAAGGGGCCAGCTCGCATCACCCCTGGGGCCTCTGTCCTCCATCTGTCAGCTGAAGCTTAGAGTGTGTTACAGTCTGTGGGTGCAAATATAAGGCCTTAGGTTTGGCTGGCACAGGGAGCTCATTACAGAAGGAGCCATGCACCTCCCCCCGCCACACCCCACTGGAGTTTGAAGGACAAGGAGGAAAGGTTTCAGCTGCAGAGTGGAGGGTAATTAAACCACGGCAGGAGACAGTGCAAAGGTTTCAAAGATGCTTCACAGCCAGGCATGCGAAGCCTTCTATGCTCAGGTTTCCTCCCGGCTTTAACTCCTGTCTCTCTCCAGCAGGTAGATCCTCCTTTTCCCTCTATCCTGGTATATGTTTGTTATCCATGTGTGAAACACACTTTCCTTGTTTGTCCACTAGGAAAACTTAAGAACCACCTCCTTCCTATACAGAATTAATTATCTCTTCCTCCACTTCCTGTGAATTTTATACCTCTGACACCCATTATCTCATTATACTATAATTAAGTGTAATAGTTATTCATTTATTAAGAGTGCAGGCTCAGAGCCAGGCCATGCTTGGTTCAAATCCCAGATTGCCATTTACTTTCTTTGTGATTTAGGGCAGACCGCTTAACCACTCTGAGCCTCAGTTTCACCTGTAACACGAGGACATCAGTATAAGTACCTCACAGGGTTGTAAGAACTGTACAGAAATGGTGAATTTACAGGGATTTTCAAATAAGTATCTCATTCTTTCAGAATCCTTCCCTGTTCTGGCCCTCTTGGCCTCCTGACCACTGGAGCAGCGCCGGCATGTGTTTGCTAGGTGCTAAGTCAGCACTGAACACACGGCCGCATGGACGGCTGCAAGGATGGCTGCATGGCTGGCTGCATGGCTGCATGATGACAGGCGCCTGTGTGCCTCCCTCATTAGACTGGGCTGCCTGGAGGCTGGGCTTTATCCGTCTGCTCATGCCCTGTCCAGGACCCCTCACACGGCCGGTGTGCAGTAAAGTGTTGCAGAACTGCCTGTGGCTCCTTTCTGTGGTTAGCCATCTTCATACACCCTTGCCCCTGTCCTGTACCAGACAGATACGAAAGATCAGAATTGTGTCTCCTTTCTTTCCTCTGCTGCTTGAGGCCTTGACCACAGCTGCTTCTGATGGTGATGGCTGCACCCACATGCAAGACACCAGCCCAGGGTTATTTGGCTTTCCCAGTGAATGGCCTGGCATGTAGCCCCTTTTCCTGGCATCTGGCCTCTTGGCTCTGGTGCCTCACACCATGAGTTCAGGTGCTGCGGTTCTCCCAGCTTTTACACATCATGGAGGCAGTCACAAGGGAAGAATGGTCTCTTCTGTCTACCAGGCTAGTGTAGAGTTGTCAGCCGCATGTTAATATCCAGGGAATGGGGCTTGATAATGCTAGGGACCCACAGGCTTCACCCTTAGAAAATCCTTAATTTAGTGCTCTGGGCAAAAAACAAATCAAGCATAAGCTATAAGCAAATGAAATGCCACCAGAACGGAAGAGATGTAGTAATTTACCAAGTCAAATCACACTGATGAACAAAAGACGTGGTATCCAGGACATGTTAACTATAGCATTTAAGCTGTCTTCAGCTGTGTGAGAAGGGGGAACAGGATGTGAGAAGGGGGAGCAGGAGGACACGTGCCCTGCTGTTCTGACAGTTGGGTGGTAGGTGGCAGGCTCTGGTACAGCTTTCTTTTGTGTAACAGGCCGGTTCTATAAACCATTTGAGTCAACTTGGTCTTTAGCCCGAGGAATTGGCTTGGCCTCATTAGATTTACCTCGGAGTTTAAGGTATAAGCTCCAGCTTTCCTGCCTCTTACTGAAAAGGCTTTTCTAATCCAATGTTATCTTCAGAACAAAACACAGACACATGGGAAAGGTTTATATCTGTTCCGGGGAGAAGTTTCCAAGTTAAGGATTCTGGTTTTCGGAGGTAATTCCTTAGAAATACCCAGATCTCCCCTTACGAAGTCTTTCTCTGCTGTGTTGTGTTCTATTTCTGATGTATAGGAAGGGACCTGAGCTTGGATCAGAACTGGATTTGAATTCCACCCCTTCTACTTAGGATTATATAACCTTAGATAATTCATTTTAGCTCTATGAATCAATTTTCCCTTATGAAAAACATGAATAGTGATACCCATTTTCTCAGGTTTTTATGAAGAATAAAAAAAAAGAGTTCTATGAGTAAATATGCAAATGCAGGAATTTCTTATTTATCTTGATTGGATTCATTTAACTTCTATACTATAAGAATTCATGTGTTCTGGAAATTTTTCAGCCATTATCTTTAAATATTGCCTCTGCCCCACTCTCTCTCTACTCCTCTTCTGAAACTCTGATTAAGTGTTAGGCCTTCCCATTCTCACCTCCAGGTCTACTAACGTCTACATTTTCCATCCTTTGATCCTTTCTGCATTGAACTGGAACCCCAAAGGATTCAACATAAGGATAAACTAGAACTAAAACTGTACCCCTAAGCCAGGACTGCAGGAAAGGCTGCCAGAGCTCTAAGTGGATTAGGGCAATAATTCAATAAAGAGGAAACAGTTGATATTCACAGCCTGGGCTCTCATCACTCAGTTGGTCCACAGAACCTCAAGCTGTGAACTTTATCTAAGGTACTCCAGACTGGCCGTGCTTCCAAGCTTCTGGCGGTAGCAAATGAAATCCCTCTCTGGAGGAAGACATGAATTTCTCATGGATAACTTTTCAAGGAAATGAACGGCTCACAGGGAAAGATAACTAAGCACACAAGCAAAAAAGACTTCTTTAGAGAGAACCGTGAACAGCAACAGACACCAGAGGGGACCAGCAAAGACTTCCGAAAATGGAGTTATCAGACACAGTTTATAAAGTAATTAGATGCTCTGTATTTAAGGAAATAAAGATAAGATTGAACTGTACATGTAATAGGGGCTTCCCATGTGATGGTGCAATGGTAAAGAATCTGCCTGCCAATGCCAGAGACACAAGACAGCAGGTTCGATCCCTAGGTCGGGATGATCCCTTGGAGAGGAAATGGCAACCTGCTCCAGTATTCTTGCTTGGAAAAATTTTATGGACGGAGGAGTCTGGCAGGCTACAGTCCATGGGGTCGGAAAGATTTGGACATGACTGAGCAGCTGAGCGCAAGCATTCATACATGTAATAGGGAACTATAAAAAGCAAAGTATTAGATTAGAAAGACAGAACTGAAAAATACAGTGACCAAAATTAAAACCTCAGTAGAGGTATTTAGCAGCAGATTAGATACAAGTAAAGACAGGATTAGTGAGCTGGAAGCCCAAGTCAGAGGAAGTGACCTATAACAAGATTGGCCAGCTCTTTTTGTCGAGTCAGATGGTCAGTATCTCTGAGTTTGGGGAGTTTTGCTGTCTCTGTCACAGCTCTGTCTCTGCTGATGCAATGTGGAGGCATAGATAGCACATACAGATGAGTATGGCTGTAGCTGTATTCCAACAAAACTTTTTATTTATTGACACTGAAATTTTAATTTAATGTAATTTTTATGTCATTAAGTATTATTCTTCTAATTTTTAAACCAACCATTGAACATGTAAAAGACACTCCTGTCTCACAGAAACATAGTGGGTCAGATCTGACTCACAAATCATCCATGCTGGCCCTTCACTGAGAATGCAGCACAGATGTATCTGCATGGGAATTGCCTCTCCACCCCAGGTGTTTTTTATTCTTGAAATTCTATTGCAGTTGACCCTTGAACTGCAGTGCATCCACTTATATATGGATTTTTTTCAACAGTACACAATCTGTGATTGGATGAATTGGAGCACACAGAATCATGGATATGGAGGAACCACATATGTGGTTATATACAGATTTATATGTGCAGATTTTTGACTGTGTGGAGGGTCAGCACCCCTAATCACCTTGTTTTTCAAGGGTAAGATGTTTATACAAATACACTTAAAATATCTCTATATCAAATGATACTTCAAAAACCTGGAAATAAGTATCTTGGATTTTTTTTTTTGGTCTTCATTTTATTCTTTTAATTATATCTTTGTGTAATAAGTGGTTTCTGTTTCCTTTGAGAATTCCCTGCTGCTTGTGTCTTTATGACAAAATCACTTGTCAGGAATATAAAATTATTCAGAATACTTATAGAGCTGTACAAGATCTTTTCCTTTAACAGCAAGCTGTATTTTTCAGGAGGGCAGTATTTTTTGGAGGTTAAAAATGTGGACTGTGGAATCAGATGTGGATTTTTAAAGCCCCATTCCACATCTTACTAGCTATAATCTTGAGTGAGTTATTTAACTGCTAGCCTGTTTCCTGCTATAAAGTGGGGATAAAAGTAATCACGTAAGGTTGAGATTCAACCTATCCTGTACCTGTATCAGTGTCTGGTAACCTGGGAAGGATATAACCCCAAAATGAGACCAGAACCTCAGCTTGCCTCCCGCTTTACACCCCAGACTTCATTTCTTCACTTGTTCACTTAACAAATATTTCTTGAGTACTGACTGTATCATATCGGGATGAAACTGAAAATTCTAAGCCACATGAACAACCTTACAGGCTTGGTTGGAAAGGATGTGTTGTGAGCTGAAGTTTTAAGTGAAGCGAGAGGGGGTAAATGAAAACAGCAGGGGAGGGAAGGGAGTAGTACTTCTGGATAGTATGAGCAATGAACAGCTTTGCATTTTGGTTTATATTTATTTATTTATTTGGCTGTGCTGGGTCTTTGTTGAGATATGTGGGATCTAGTTCCTGGCCAGGGATCAAACTTGGGCCTCTTGCCTTGGGAGCATGGCGTCTTAGCCACTGGACCACCAGGGAAGTCCCTGTTTTGTTTTTTGTTTTTTTTAAGGAGGATGACATACTGGTGACTCAGAAGCATAAATGGAGTACAGAGAGGATATGAGGGACCTTCAGATTCATAGGGTA